TCTGAGCACATTTAGATGTCGATAATAAAAGATTCATGATACTGAGTTGTAGATAGTGTCCGCGGAAGAACGCCCTTAGAGAGGTGAATGATTAAGAATAATCCAGCAATTTTATAACTCTCATGTTTGTCGGCATATTTTTTCTTCTTGTCGTTTCTATCGCCTTTTTTCTCTTCCTTAACCTGATTTGATTAATAATAAAAACCGTGTATTGGAGTTTTTGGGGAGTTTTTACAGGAGGATGGAACGTTTTTACTGGGCAAAACCAGATGTATAGGACTCAATTGATAACATGTTTCTTAAGAAATACCTAGTAGAAGTTAAATTGTTTTTAAAAATAACACAACACTTTTAATTTTCAAAGACACACTGTTGTGTTATTTTTAAAAATTATTGCATCACTTGTGCTTTTACGCTCACTTGGAAAAGHTAAATTGTCAAGTTTGCGGTAATTCAGTGCTATTTGCCGTAGAGATTTTTTCAAAGTTATTGTTTGTATTATCAACTATATCTTTATTTACTACTTGATTGCAATTATTTTCAGAGCTTMGATATGGGAAATGTAACGGTAACGCCTCGCAATACAACCAACTCAACAAACTACTCAATCCCCGTAATTAGAAAGAAAGGTCCATCCATMCCTCCTTTTCGAGGACCGCAAACACTGCAAGCCGTTCAAACTCAGGCAGCATTTCTTCTGTTCCTTGTGGCAGCCGCGGTAGCCATCAACATCATTATGATAATTCTGCTGCAAAAAAGGTTCAAGTCCTTGCCTTATATTATGCTACAGAACATAGCGATTGTAGACATGCTGACAGTAGTTATGGCCGGTCCTCTGTTCCTCGTTGGTGTCCTCCTCGACCAGTTTGGCCTGATTCTACAAACCATTTGTAATGTTCAAGGATTTTTCCTCTCTTCTCTGTGCGCTGTGTTTCTCAATACAGTAAGCTTGGTTGCTATCAGCAGGTGCCTGGCAGTACTCAAACCGTCTCTCTATCATAAGATATTTGTTAATAAGGTAAGGGAGATTACATTTTAGTAGCAATAAGCTAACTATATCCTTACTTGTTACCTTGGAGACCGCTCCAAAATAGATGAGCCCTTAGAATTTTCTTGTAAAATCGTTTCTAAAAATGTATTATTACTAAATAGAAAACCATCCTTAATCCATTAATTCAATTAAATCAATTATATTTTCATATTATATATAGTGTATTAAACCTAAGTAATATTTTTTAACATTTATATATTTTATCATATATAATATTATTGTATTTTCGTTTATATTCCATTCCATTCCATTCCATTCTATTCCTTATATAGATGATATCAATGCACTGTACAAATATGACTTGTAAATAACGATCTGAAAATAGAGTTAAGTCAAAAAACCCGTGAAATGATCACACTAATACACCTTAGTACGCTCTAATTGCACTGTTTTCTTTTGTGTTTATTCGACTACATCACACTTTAATAATCAAGTTTTGTTTCACGGGTTTAAGGACTTCACTTCACACAGGACCAGATATACTACTGCAATTCACTGGTCTCGGACCAGCTATACTACTGCAATTCACTGGTCTCGGACCAGCAATATAGTTTTTATGTAATATTTATAAGAACACTTTTCATTTTTCAGTCTGAGTGTATCCTTATCTAAATTTGTTCTTAATTCACTTGCTCAGTAACATATGTTGGTTTCATATGGCGAATGATAAGTTGACGATCGTGCTTGTTCGTTATTTCAGATCATCATCCGTCTGCTGCTTCTAGGAATATGGTCATCAAGCGCTTTGCTGAGTACCCCTCCAATGAACTACAAAGAGGGTTGGGGTGCGTACCGTAGGCTCGAGTCGACGTGTTGGTTGGCTTGGTTACCCGACCAAAAAAGTGCTATGGCTTACAATGTCATAGTAACGATGGTAACGCTGGGCGTGGCAATAACCTTCAGTGCCCTGGCAACTAAGGTCGTGTTCTCTGCTGGAAGCAAAGTGATACCATCAGAACCGGTAATGTCTAGCATAGTTGGTACATCGTAATGCCGTTTAATACCATCAGAACCGGTAATGTCTAGCATAGTTGGTACATCGTAATGCCGTTTATAGACTCGATGGTAATGTCTAGCATAGTNCGATTCTTCTACTCTGCTGATTCGATCGAAATGTAAATAAACGATTTGTATTTAAATGTGAATTATAATACGAGTAAAACCGGCAACGTGCTTGTTTATCCACAGGCCACACAGGATAGCATCCTTTGGTTATGGACTGCCAAGCGGCGTCAATCTTGGCGTCGCGCGTTCAATTCTCAGCTCGTAGATGTTGAAAAAAAAATCTTCTTTTTCTTCCTTTTTTTAGCTTCAATATCTTGCTTTACGGTCAATGTTTCCTTTTCCGTGATAGAAAAGATTTTTTGAGCCGGAATTAATTTCCCCCGACCCCTAAAGGGATGCCAAGATAGAAGCCGCTTGGCAGTCAATAACTATCCTGGGTGGCCTGTGGTTTATCGAGCGGCAAACCGACCAAATGTAAATATGACCTGTAAATCTGACTGATTTATGTCGTGCTAGCAGAGTAAAACCTTTCAATCTTATCATCTTATCAACAGGCGATATGCATTATGGCGTCATTTACTACAACTACCAGAATGATTTGCCAATTGTTTTATTAATCTCCAAGAGGATTAAAAATCTGAATAACAATGAAAATGCGCAAGGCTCTCTGGTTGTTGTAGTAAAGTTATGTCATAATGCAAACGGCCTATTAGCAGTAGTGTTTCTTCAAAAGAAACATAAGATAGAAATATTCTATGTTTCTGGTAGTGCGTACAAAARTTCTGAAAAAGTAAAAAACCACCTATACACCATACTTTGCATATAATATTGATAAAATTTGATTATTGCCAATTTTCGGTAACATTAAATCCAATTAATTAGTACCAATCAGCAAATACATTTGGCGATTTCCAAATTCAGAGTTTTTAGCAACTTTTTTCGTCGAAAATTACCCACACTGCACCATATATGTTCATAGGAAGATATGGTTTGCATTTTCAGAATTTTTGCAATCGCTGTATGTCCATATTTGTAAATAAAACCAATATACCCGTGTACAGCAAACAGCTCTAATAAAAACCCAGTTTAATCAAGTATGGTGGACAGTCTTCTTATAATACAATAAACATTGGCTTGACATATGGAGTAAACAACAACAACAACAGCAGCAACAACAACAACAACAACAGCCACAACAACAACAATTACTTTTCTTTCATGAACTGTTATGGTTCAGTGATATCTACTATAATTTTACATGGAGTTCAAATCAAGAAACCATGTACCCTTCGTGATGTTTGTCTTCAATATATTGCCCTATCCATGAGAGTCCAGAGATTTAGTTTCCGTGTACAGTAACATTGTCTTGTATACTAATCCCTCAGTAATATACGGATACAAAATCTCTGGACTAGTGTGGAAGGGGCAAAAATCGACAGCTCTAATCTGCTAACATGTTACTTAGAAGTTTACATCCAAAATACACCGACCGGGCGACTAAGTTTTCATCGTTTTAGGATAAAAGTTCTTACTTTGTGCGAAACTTCAATAAATTTGTCGGACGATAACAATACTATAGACCTTTTGCATGAAACGGTCACATGATGCTAAATCCATCATACTGCTGGATGACAACATACCCACTGCGATGTTCAAAACAAAGTCAAGTTTGRCGGGCTGCGTTAGTTTTGTTTTTGAATTTGTTTACATTATTTTGTCAACCAGTATGGTGGATTTAGTACCATTACAATGCGTTAGAAAATAAATCGAATTATAATACAAACAAAGTCTCCACTGGACGATATTTTCCTTCACGGTTCCCTGTGCAATTTTGAAAGGTAGCTGTGTATTCTTTCACACCTACGCTACATTCTTTACAGGCATCGATCAAAGCCACTTAACGATCGCCTCGCTTCCATGCAAAGGCACGGCTACCTTACAAGACGTCGCAGGTGATAAGAAACTGAACTATTCTACCAAAATAAGTCCAGCATCTTACATTATGATTGCAGAAAGAACTTAAATAAAAAACGTATTTGTTCAGCTTAAATGCACTGTGCAGTTGTGCAAGGTAGCTTCGCCCAGTCCTTTCGGTTGATTATAGTTGGSTGTTTCCTRTAGACTTCCTTCTTGATTTATAGSAACACTGGATTCGTCGCAGCATTCAGGACTCGAAGTATTTTTGAATTGGTTCACCAATGATCGTTTCAATTTGCTTCACAACGTGTTGACATTGTTGCTCAACTTCYACACACTCGTCTGTAACAACGACAATAAGAAAGATTAGAAAGGCGGGAGATTCAAGAACACAGTGCACTTTTTCAGAACAGAGCTTTACAAAGCTGATTTTACATCAGATTTGTAACAGTAAAAATACTGCAAATTCAGGAMTTTCAAAAATGGTGCGATATATCACGGTCGCCGAACGGTCGCCGACCAGGGTATTGGGGGTGTTTTGGCACTACAACAAGGTCTCAAAGGCCAGCCCATTGTATATTAAACTTCGATTGTGACTTGTGTTTAGTTTTAAGGTGTTTCGATGGTAATAAAAAGCGCTTCGCGCGTATTTCTAAAGTCCAACTACGTCGCAAATTTCGATTCCATTGCACTCAAATTTTCACAGAAGTAACAGTGATTATYGATAATTCTTGTAGAYAAATTAAATTGCCAAAAAGCGAAGCCATTTGGATAATCAATGCAAAATAAAAACAYCTTCATATTTCTTCAAAGTTAATTTTCTCGAAACTCATAGCAGAAATTATGATAAAATTTTCAGAATCATTTCTTAATAACATAATTGATGTACTGACGAAGTTTCAATAAAATCTTAACCTAAAATTTCGAGTTGTTTGAACAAAATGATGTACAATCGAACAACTCGACATTTTAGGTTAAGATTTTATTGAAACTTAGTGAGTACATCAATTATGTTATTAARAAATGATTCTGAAAATTTTATTGCAATCTCTSCGATGAGTTTCGAGAAAWTTMATTTTGAAGAAAAATGAAGGTGTTTTTATTTTGCATCGTTTATCCAAATGGCTTCGCTTTTTGGCAATTTAATTTATCTACAAGAATTATCGATAATCACTGTTACTTCTGTGAAAATTTGAGTGCAATGGAATCGAAATTTGCGACGTAGTTGGAGTTTAGAAATACGCGCGAAGCGCTTKTTATTACCATCGAAACACCTTAAATAACATATCAATACATCTTTCAAACTTTTGGATACTGCCTACATACGATCTTCGTAGTGATTTCTTGATGGAAGGCCTTTGAGGTCTCGTTTCSATCACTAGTCCCCCGATATTGACGGTCTGAAATTCCGCCATTTTTGAAAGTCGTGTCATCTATACGGATCAACAACCATACAACTGGACAACTTTTAGTTAAAWGTCATGGTCAACCAGTATTTCGATTTTGTTTGAAAAAAAGAATACTTTTCTTCCGTTMATCTTATGAAAATTGTGATATRTAATAATTTGCTCCCGTATTTCAAATAGTGCTGTGTTTTTTTTTCTGACATCCTTCTATATTCTCGTAACTTATTAGCTCCCTCCCACACACAAACATTTTCTGGATTGTCTTTTAGTTCTCTCGGCCCTTGCGCATTTCAAACCTTAAATCATTGTTTTTTTCAATAAGTCATTATTTAAAACCACCCTTCATAATTCACTCATTCCTGTCATTCACTTGAAAACACACGGGCAAAAAAAAAATGTTTCTTCTAAAAACAGACGTCATACGTGGGCTGTTTTCAAGATGAGTGAAAAAGCTCAAGTAGTCGTCCTTACCTTCCATAAGTTCGGCTAAGAATGGAATACTTTCAGGCAACAATATCACAATGAATTCTTCACCCAGTTGACGGTAAAGCTCTTCGAGAGCTTTTAGGGCGGCAAACCGGACCTATCAAACAATGATGTCAATGAACTTACAAGGTTTATAGTGAAATACAGTCCGTGTTTTGACAACAGAAAAAAAGCCGAATAACGGACATGTAAGTAACAAATAAAATATTGAAASAGAGCGCTTAAAATTCATTCCTCAGAGTAATATTATAAGAAGTAAAAACACACTGACTAATTATTTAGTTCAACAACAACAAAACACAACAAAAAACGAAAAGAAACAAAAAACAACCGAATAAGAAACAAAACAAAACAAAAACAGTCGTTATTTTGACGGCCGATTCTCTTACGCAAAGACCTTACAAACACAAAAGAAGGCACAAAAAATGTTGTAAGTATAATAGCGCTAAGAGTTTGCATTTTCTCCAAGTTGAGGCTAACCCTGTATTCCCTCAAGGCTCATACCTTTTTTGTAGGTCTTATAGGAATACAGGGTTAGTCTCAACTCAGAGAAAATGCATTTTTTCAAAGCTATTATAATAACGACATTTTCTCATGCTCGCTTTTGTATTTGGTATTTGTATTTGCGCAAGAGAATCTGCTGTCAAATAAAGCAGCGGTTATTCGCTTTGAATTCGAAAATGGAATAATTCGGTTGTCTAAAAATCCTAAAACAGCTAAATTTTCACTCTATTTCTGACTAAAACTTCGACAACATCGACAACATTTACTCATGCCAGCAAWTTAATGATTGTGTTAAGTGTTCGTACCTGTGACGATGAGTGCCTGGTCTTGAGAAGTATTTGATAGTTTAATGTTTTCCAGTCAGAGTCGTTCCCAGCAGCTACTGCGAGCTGRGCCAGGCAGGGTACCACGTGATTTGAAACTCTGTCTTGAAATTCTTCATTGTTACCCATTTGGTTTTCAAGCTAATTATGAAAAACAACGTTTTATTCCAACGAAGGACAAATGCCTGGAGATTTATTTTCACCTTTACATCGAACGCCGAACGAAAAATTGGCTTTCAAGCTTTGTTTCAAAATTTCAATCACACATAAAAGCGCTTCGAAATGACAAGTGATGCGCTCTTTCACAAGAAAATTTATGTCCAAACTCAAAAGAACGGAGCGTTAATACAGAAAAACGGTTATTAAGTGATTTTGTTTGTTTGTTTGGCGTTTTGAAGGAAAGTGAATTTAGACTCTCTTGATTACATCATCATTATTATAGTGTTATTGTTATTGTCATTATTATCATATTTAAGGAACATGGTCAACCAGCATTTTTTATATAGGGAAAATGAGATGACTTCGAATATCCATTCGCAATCGGTTTCCATCCATCGGTTTCAATTTCGAATCTTACAGTATCTCCATTTATATAGTATAAAGGGATAATAAAGAGTACGTTTTTCTTACATTAAGATGTACTTTTATGTTCGAAATGGATGCTGGTGAATGTTCCTTCAAGAACATTCTAATCGATATTATCTTACCTGATCTATGATTGGTTGCATTAAGCAAGAAAACCTTTCTTTGTCAACAAAACCATGAGCAGCATAACAAAGACACTTTTGAAGACAATCCAGTACGTAAACCACTAACAAACATGACTTGTCATTGTCGGCAATCGTCTTCCCATCACTATGAGATGTCTTGATGTAGAAAGGCTCACCTTAAAATCAAAGCACCAATGCTATAATATCATGAAGACTTGTACAAACTTATTATCTTTAATTATTTGCTTGCAACACTATTCTTAAAGACGATTTCGACTTTCAATATTCTATATCAAGACTTATAACTACATCATTCAGCATTTAGCGACAAAACAACTAAATCCATTGCCCTATTTCATTAAGACGTCGCAACAAAACATTCTAGCGTTTGACGCAAAGGGCTATGATCAGAATGACTACATATCAAATAAAATGTACATAATAAATCTTTGAGAAATCTACGATACATTGAAGTTCTTGTTTAGAAATAATATAAATGTGTCAAAATTTTGACCGATTTTGAGCTTCATTACTCGATGTAAACATACTGTGACGTCATTATGAAATAGGACAATTGAAACTTTGTATACATGTAAATCATATAGTTAATATGTTTAAGGTAAAGTACCCTCATTACATGTCTAAAACGTACGGAATTAACGGTTAATTTAGTGAAAACTAGTTTCGTTCAAAAACCTCTTCAGTTCACTGTYTTTAACTCAGAAAAGGACCAACGTGCAAAAGTACGGAGGCCACTTTTTGTTTATTTTCATTTATTTCTTTTCTTTTTTGCCTGTATGTTAGTTTATGATGTCGGCCTTACTATTATTAGTGCTGTTGTTCCTATCGAGGAGAGAAGAGCAGTTCTTGATGATGTACCCAGCGAACAGCGCCATTAAACCTTTTAGTTTATCAGCAATCCTGTAGAACAAGAATATCATTGATAGCTGCTTGTAAAATAATATTCTCTTTCACGGTAAGGACCACCACCTTGAAAGGTAGCCGTGCCTTTGCGTCGTAGCGAGACAACCGTTGAGCGTGCAATGATAGATACCTGTGAATAATAGTCTGTAGGTGTGAAAGAAGGTTTMTATCATTACACGCTCAATGGGCGTCTCGCTTCGATGTAAAGGCACGGCTACTTTTCAAGATGGCGCAGGGAACCATGAAGGAGACTATTAGAGTGATGATGTCACTGACACATCTCTATTGGTAGTGACCGCCCGAATAAAGTCTGCTTGAAATACAGAAGGAGGTGTAAATATGACTGTGGTTCGTATGGACTGTTTTCAACCATTCCCATGAGATTCAAAACATAAAGACCGGCGGCCATGTTGGAGGAATGAACAATAGATACAAATTAGAAATTCTTTTTAAAAGATCTTTGTTGGTTGTATTTTTCATTTTTATACGTAGTTTGTTTAATCAACCATGAATAATTTTAAACTTCTTTCCAAGCTTTCGACCTAAGCGGTCATCTTCAGGGAACACAAAGACGTTACAAAAACAAAAACGCATTCAAACTGAAATGGAAAGAAGTTTAAAATTATTCATGGTTGATTAAACAAACTGCGTATAAATAGAAATTCTTTGTTGAAGTTCTTCCAAGATGGCCGCTATGATGTATAGTAAAAACGAACAATTTAGAGAAAGCTTAAAAATGTACAATAAGCTTAACCAACTAAKAAAGATTTCCATCTTTTTCGGTGTTAAATTCATCATTTCATCACAACTGTTTCATTAGGAAAACCGACACAGTTTACACTAGTTAACCGCTAGTCATTTCCTCATGTCATTCGTGCGGATTCCCTGTGCTTTTTAGCTTTGGGCTTCCTTTAGCGAATCCATGCCATATATGGAAACAAACAAAATGGCGGATTGTTTAGAAGTGTTTTCGCTATAATATCTGCTAGTTTCAGACGATTTCAAGCTTTAATAGTCGAGAAAATCGACAAAAAACATTCCTATCGAACTTCCAAATAAGGTAAGATTACCATATATGGCTGCTAAACGAAGGATAACTTTTGTGGGGCAATTCTTGAGAAATAGCAAGAAAATTCAGCGTTTAATCTGATGTTTTTGATTCCTACCTGTCACAAAGACGGTAAAACACAACAAGACGATCTTTATTTCCACCTTGTCTTGTTGCTCGTTCATACAACTAAAAACAAAGCAAAAAGTCAAGAAAAGGTGACATAATCCAATTTCAATCAGTAATTCGCATAACATTGTGTGATAGTAATAGACCTCTGCAGCTTTTACGTCATGTACCGTATACGCAATGCATTGTAGGATATGTTTGGGAGAGAACATGGCGGATTTCTTTTGTTTTCTCTTGAAACTGATCCCACAATGCATTGAAAATCAAGTAGTGACGTAAAAGGTCCAGAAGTCTATTATAGTGATGACGATAAAAGAGTTAATAAYTATCGCACTACACAACCTTGAGGAAGACAGGACGAAATGTTGCTTCAGACATCTTCATTACGAGTTCACAGAATGAGTTGACCACATCAGATTCAACTTGATCCTGAAGTTCCGGTTCACACTGAACAAAGACAAATAACTATAAAACAATGTTCCATAAGATAGCAGTACGATAAACTAGATAAATCTCTCCATCGACCAGCACATTCAACTTACTTAACTGTGGGACAAATACTTAACTAAGTCAAGTTGTAAACAAGTTGTGCGCGTCATACATACAACACGAATTGCATCGTGCAAATCAAGTCTACAACTCACTACAACTACCTAAGTCAAGTTGTAAACAAGTTGTGCGCATCATACATACAACCTCACAGATATCCAAGTCACTCATTTAAGCGGTTAATTGCGTTACATACTTGAGGTTGCGTGACGCGAAAATCAAGCCCCACAAACATAAACTTGAAGATCTGTTCACTGTAGGTGGTGACGTCATGTTTAGTCATGCACGTGACTGACTCGTGTAACACCTGTATCAGCATAGGTATAGCCACGTGACTATGATCGATGACGTCATGATAGCACTGGGAGACGGCAGGTATTAGAACACGAGGGGTTACGAGATGTGCGATGTCTTTCCTGAAACAAAACGCAAGATCAGCTCAATGCTGCTGCTGATTTTTATCTTCCTGTAAATAGCGTTTGTCAATAATGCTACTGTTGAGAAGGATCTGTCATATGACTTTCATATACGGTCGTGCATGTACACGGCGCAGATGTACACATAGAATGCTCTCATATCCCAGTTATGTGAAGAAATTAGAACATTTTCAAAGACTTAAACTTAAACTGAAAAGAAATTTTTGAAGGACTTGCATTAAGATTCGAACCAGCACTATGCATTGCCTAACCCGATATTTTTTCTAAACCCAAACATTAAGCCATGAGATCAATTCGATTGAGTTAACTTGCATTTTCATGATATTTATGCAACGGCATGCNTATCGCACTACACAACCTTGAGGAAGACAGGACGAAATGTTGCTTCAGACATCTTCATTACGAGTTCACAGAATGAGTTGACCACATCAGATTCAACTTGATCCTGAAGTTCCGGTTCACACTGAACAAAGACAAATAACTATAAAACAATGTTCCATAAGATAGCAGTACGATAAACTAGATAAATCTCTCCATCGACCAGCACATTCAACTTACTTAACTGTGGGACAAATACTTAACTAAGTCAAGTTGTAAACAAGTTGTGCGCGTCATACATACAACACGAATTGCATCGTGCAAATCAAGTCTACAACTCACTACAACTACCTAAGTCAAGTTGTAAACAAGTTGTGCGCATCATACATACAACCTCACAGATATCCAAGTCACTCATTTAAGCGGTTAATTGCGTTACATACTTGAGGTTGCGTGACGCGAAAATCAAGCCCCACAAACATAAACTTGAAGATCTGTTCACTGTAGGTGGTGACGTCATGTTTAGTCATGCACGTGACTGACTCGTGTAACACCTGTATCAGCATAGGTATAGCCACGTGACTATGATCGATGACGTCATGATAGCACTGGGAGACGGCAGGTATTAGAACACGAGGGGTTACGAGATGTGCGATGTCTTTCCTGAAACAAAACSCAAGATCAGCTCAATGCTGCTGCTGATTTTTATCTTCCTGTAAATAGCGTTTGTCAATAATGCTACTGTTGAGAAGGATCTGTCATATGACTTTCATATACGGTCGTGCATGTACACGGCGCAGATGTACACATAGAATTCTCTCATATCCCAGTTATGTGAAGAAATTAGAACATTTTCAAAGACTTAAACTGAAACTGAAAATAAATTTTTGAAGGACTTGCATTAAGATTCGAACCAGCACTATGCATTGCCTAACCCGATATTTTTTCTAAACCCAACCATTAAGTCATGAGATCAATTCGATTGAGTGAACCTGAATTTTCATGATATTTATGCAACGGCATGCATGAATAACTCGTATGTGTTACATAAGATTGAATATATAAGTGCGCTTTCCATTTGTCAGAACTGGCTGGCCAGACACAGAGGAAATGTCATTATATATCATTCCCATTTAGTTAGGAAGTTCACATTTTCAAATTCTATCCATTATTCTACAGAAAACCTCGAAATGACTGRRAAATGTTGACAAAAADCATTATATACCTCTAAATAGAGTGGACTGGCCGGCCAGTTCTACCTAAATGGAAATCACCCTAAGTAATGAACCATCCATAGGGACATGAGAGCCTTATATAGGTACATTAGAGCCATGCATATGGACATCCATATATGGAAGTCATACGACAACCTCAACTTCTACTGTAAGAACTGCTGCTGTTGGGCGCAAGGAACGTTCTATGGTGTGATAAACAAACCTGAACGCTGACAGTCTATCATGTAACTGTTGAATARTTGAATCCTTTTCTTGTTCGTCGTTCTTGCTCTCAATGTCATTTAGGCTGGGACTTGTAATCTAGTAAAAATATGACGACAAAGTCAATACTGCAGAAAACCACACAATGGCTGGAAAACAAAGTAATTCCCGTTTAGTTATCCAAGCTAAAAGTAAAACATTAGCTAAACTATGCAATAAACACAAACATAAAGCCCGGCGCACATATGATAGGAAATTACACAAGGGAAATGCCACACGAAATGTTGTGTTTATACACATGCAATCTCAAACAGAAAAAAAAAGAAAAATACAAAAATACAAAAATACAAAAATACAAAAAAAGATGTTCAATTCTAAAATTTGAATAATGAGGTTATTGAGTCGACTGAATTACGAACACGTTGTCCTCCACAAGACATTCGAACCAAAGTCTGTTTTACCACAGTAAATGTCATATATAGAGGATATTACACGGGCGAGCCGAGATACGGATTTTATCTTCGAGTATTGAAAAGATCTCTCACGAGTGAGCGTAGAAAAAATAACACTAGTGAAAGTAACAACTTTACGAAATGGAAAAATGTAGGTATTTCATAGATAATTATATGATAAAGGCAGTTAGCTTAGAGTAATAATATAGCAAATGCGGCCAGATACGACTGCTGTTAGATGGCAAATACACTTTAAATGAAGTCGAGTTTTCGCTGTTCTACAGCATCATATAAAGCTCGAAATCATTTCGAAGTACATCAAAGTATTTACCATCTAATAGCGGTATCTGGGCGCATTTGCTATATTATTACTCTCCAACTAACATAATGCTAAAGGATAACTTCTCGTTATCTTACCTTGTGTATTATCTGTACTAGATAAGGACTAAGGAAGTTTGGTAGAGACTGGGCAACTTTATGTAACGTAACCACCGCACATAGAAGAAGAACAACATTCCTTTAACAGACAAAAAGCTCAGTTAAAAATGTCTCAGCTTTAATTCAGAAGAAGGTTGGAGTGAACTCATGGATCCCAGGATTTCCTCACTAGGAAGACGACTTCAACACAGCATGTCAAAATGTCACGGGATCACAGCCTTCTCCGTAGCCCTCAATTCTAAAACTTCCTCGATAGATTGGTAAGAGAGTGGGACTAGTAACGAGACAGAGAAGAAAAATGAAATGCAGGACACATCCTGTCTTTTTGTTTGGGTCGACCACCACTATCAGAACGAAGCTTGTGATAGATCGAGACAACAAAAACAAAGAATTGTGTGATTATGTCAGACAATGCCTATTGTTGTATTGGACATCTTCGTGGTTTCTCTTTGTTATTTCATCAAATCACAATCTTTTTTCYAACAGTAGTGTACACCTCAGTCCCCCTCTCCCTGCCCTTGGAGCACCAAGTATACAAACTGGAAAATCAAGAAGCATGCATAGTAGTTAGTTCTTACCTATCATCGGCTGTATTGTCAAGAATAGAAATAATATTTGGCATGAACTGTGGTAGGTATGGTATAGCATTGGCCTTGAGACCTGAACAGACTTCACCAACACAAAGAATAGCATTCGACAAAACCTGGAAAAAAAAATACCAATAAACTCTTAAGAGCTAAACTCGTTTGTTTCAAATCCTCCANTAGGGTGGGGTGAAATTCTGAGTGACCACACTAGGGTGGGGTGAAATTCTAAGTGACCACACTAGGGTGGGGTGTCACTGCCTAGGTGAAAGCTCAGTTGATGGCAGACAGCGAAAAAAAAGCAACTGAACTAAAACCCAGCCCACGTGATTAAGGCGGCCCAGGCTCCCATGCTGTGTGAGAAAACATTTTTCACTTTTTTCGCTCCTCAGCCAGTGGAAAACACAACCTACCAGAGCAGCGCAAATCATTGAAGGGTCGGATTGATGAGTATGATGGAGTAAATGATTGAGAAAATAGCTTTTTCTTCTTCTTATCATGTTGATAATGAGAGATGAAGCTCTCCTGATTTTTTTAATGATAGACCGTTGTGGACCCTCCATCCATTTATACCTTAGTGAATACTGCTGGTTGGTGTTCAGATAATATTCTAGCCAATAGTTTCAAGCTGTACAAGGCAGTTTGTCTGTTAATAGGTGTCTCATGTCCAACTTCAGAACAAACCAGAGACAGTAGGACGCTGACCAGTTTGACCAGCTCCTCAACCTACAACATGAAACATCAGTGAAGAGCATTTATCGTTAAAATAAATGGATTATGCATAGAGGAAAACTGTGAGGAATAAAAGGGAAAAAAGGTCTCATCCCGCAGCATTTTAGTCGACCTTCGTAAATATGTTCGAGAATTTACTCAATAACTACAAACTACTACAGTCGAACCTCTATTTTAAAAGCGACCTTCTATTTAGCGGTCACTCATGAGTTCCCCATAAGTCGATTKTCATGTACATTTACTTTAAAACATGACCTCTATTAAACGGTCAACCTCTATTAAACGGTCACCTATTCTTTCCCGAAGGTGACCGCTTAATAGAGGTTCGAGTAGATAATCTTAAACCTCTCTCTAGAGTCTACAAGCACAAGGCAAGGGCGCTAGAACTGAAATTATGACCTATAAGATCCAAAAATTGCTTAATTTATCCAACATAAGATAGCCGATAATAAATTGTAAACTTTTACTTATCTGAAATATACACTCAAATGTCCTCTTAGACACTAAAAAGCACTTGATTTTACGTTACTCAAACTCTCAAGCGGTTGTTGCTGAATTTATTACCGCTGTCCTTGCTGTACCAGCCACTGCTGTCTCGCCAGGAACGTTATTCATTAACCGGATTAAAATCACTTTGTTCGGCCAGGGCAAAGTGATTTTAATCCGGTTAATGAATAACGTTCCTGGCGAGACAGCAGTGGCTGGTACAACAAGGACAGCGGTAATAAATTCAGCAACAACCGCTTGAGTAACGATCATTTGGATGAATTTCGTAAAATCAAGTGCTTTTTAGTGTCTACGAGGACATTTGAGTGTATATTTCAGATAAGTAAAACTTTACAATTTATTATCGGCTATCTTATGTTGGATAAATTAAGCAATTTTTGGATCTTATAGGTCATAATTTCAGTTCTAGCGCCCTTGCACAAGGTCAGTCAGTCTCAAAAAAGCAGTCAGTTGACTGGCATTAAGTTTTAATGATTTTAAATAATCTTTCGCGACTGAATAGTTCCATCTCGAGCCATTATTACTTTGCACACTTTTAATTTATTTCAACGTTCATCTTCAGTAGATCCGTTCTCACCCCTCCCCACGGGGAAACTTATTTGCATGTATATATATAGGGTCACTGATGTAAGTATAGACGATGGAGCACACTTGTCTGCGCAGCTCAGAAAAAAATATGAAAAAAGAATGGAAATAATGCAGTCCATAATCATGTGAAGTCTGAGACATTTTGTCAACACGTGCGCCCTTCATGTGACAGTCTTCACGATGGTGTAGTGTTCATCATCACCTGATGAAGACGAGCACCATGATGTCGAAACGGCGCGGTACATCAAATATCTCACCTGTCCAGATAAAGCCTTGTTGTGACCTAGTTTGTTGTTAAGGAGATCCATTGATTTGCGTCGTACAGTAGCATTAGAGTTGGTGAGCAATCGGCAGATGACAGCGATGAATACATTAGGGGGTAGAAGCTCGTTCACCTGAAATGAAGATTGGTTATAAATACCTAACTAAAAAAAAACGTAGTCGCGTTTCAAAAGGTTACATCATCGAAGCTAAGACCGAAAAGGATAATGGGATCGATCCGTAAATGATGATATATTATCACAGGTAACCCAGGCTCAATAACTTAGTATAAAATATGTCGTTCGCACATTTTTTTTTTTTTTGCCTAAATAATATTATTCTAACATA